AAAGAGACAGATTAACAAACCAAGGCCAGTAGATGCTGAAGACATTGAAGCAATATACAAGCAAGCTAAGGAGGAACAGGATAAAGCAGATCAAGCTTTCTTGGAGGAACATGAAGGTCACAGAACCTCAGATTTTGAGAAGCTAAATTTGGATGCCCTTCCAGCCTCACTAGATGACGTAGAATCTAATACCTCTGTGGAGGCTCAAGGTCGATCAAGAAAAACTACGAAGCCTCCTTTAGGTTTTCAATTAGGTGGAAGCGGTTTTAAACTTCTTGTGCCAGGCTCAAAAGTTCAAGTTGTTTCTGGGGCGTTTGCAGGATTTTCAGGCATCCTTAAGAAGTTCAATAAGAAGAAAGCATTGGTATGTAAATTTCTGCCTCTCAAGTCTTGAGTACCTTATTTTATGAAGTATGCCTCGAACAAGGACATTGATTTGAACAATATACATTCTGGGAGGTTGGGTGTTTTTGTATCTTTTTTTTTTTACCTCATTCTACTTCATGGAACTTAGTTTTGGATATACAGGCGACTGTTAGCTTTACCTTGTTTGGCAAAGAAACTTTAGCTGACTTGGACGTCAAAGAGATTGTAGCTGAGAAAAATTGATTTCTGAAGCTGGGCATCAAATTTTAAGGTTGTATGTTTGCTAACAACAAACAATAATTGTTGTCCATTGGGTAGTAGCATACCACTCCCGCCTCCCATACTATACAGATGCATTGGCACATTGTGCCTAGCTCAATGTAATGCTTAGGAAATATAATAGCAGATAGCACATATGGTCACTGTAAGCCAAATTGCTGTGACAAAGTCAATTTACACAATGTCTTTTTGACTTGAGCATTCCTGCCTGTACTTCATCTATTTGCATTAACTAATGAGCTTCTGAATCAAGATCCATCTCAAAAATATTCTAAGCAATTCTTGTTTTACTTAACTTCTTCTGTTCTTTCTTTGTTACGCATTAAGCAAATTGAACGAAACTTCGACTTTCTGAGGTTGTGTGGATGATGAAAGAGGGCTTGATCTTTTCCATTTTCCTATTCTAAGTTCTATATGATATTGTTCCCTTGAGTGATTTCCTTTATGCTATTTCGTTATTCGGTTATCTTGAGGTTGTGTGGATGATGAAACATATCAAGCTGCTGTTCTACAATCGCTTCGAAAAGTATATGAAAAACTTTGAGGTCTAATGGATTAGTCATCGGGATGATCATTGACTGATGTGCGCAATTGGTGATTCCATCTCATGTTTTCTTCATGCCTTAACCCAACACTTGCATTCAATGACCACGACAAGGCTTCTCCTTTGCAGCCACTATATTTTGTTGTATGTCAAAATTGTTAGTACGCCTTTACATTTTTTGGGAAGGGGGAAGGGGGGTTTAGAGCCACTAGACCAAGGCCTCCTCGGCTAGTACACCTTTACCTGCATCATTAGGTTGGTGAGTTAATTTGCTCCAGTTCGTGGAAAGTGGAACTCTATTTGCACCCTGTAGTAAAAGCTGGAGGTCGCTTCGCTGTGTTTACTCTACTATTTGGTATTTTAGACCTGAAGCATGAGGCTATGTTATGATGATTAGACATTGTTGATCTGGCCCTGGCCAACTTTTCTCTCAAAGAAAGGTGCAAATAGAGTCGTAAAAGAGAGAGTTGGACAAGTGTGTTCCTGGCGCTCTCATCTACATAAAGGAATAGAGAGCGTGGCAATATGGCAATAATTCGTTAACTACTATCTTGGCGAAAAAAGAATTTGGTGGATGGAAATGCCTCCTCTACTAGGCAGTTGACGGAGACATTGCTTCTGTGGATCATGTGATTTGTCATAGTGCAATTGCAAACATTTAAACGCAATGGAATTTTAGGTAATCGAGGGGAGATCTTTTTCGACATCATCTCTGGAAGAAAGGCAACTCCTTGCAGTGCTGCTACGTCTTTCCCTTTTGAAGAGGATGCAATTAAGAAGCTTGGGGAAAAAAGGGTCACATGCATGCTTGTTCTTGATCTATCACTACCAACCCATGCCCACTCACGCGCATGCCTTTAATCCTTGTTCTATCTACACCCTTGTCTAGCCTGGGGGACCCCAAAAAAAGAAAAACAACTCCCTTTCAATGCCATAACTTTGATCTCTTCGTGCCAATTTCAGTTTCTTTCGTCCATTTCTGTCTCTGTTTGTCCACCCGCCCTCCATACATGTTTTTTTTTTTTTTTTTTTTTCAAAGCCTTTTGTAAACTTTTGTGACTTTACAAACCTAAACTCCGAGTAAACCTCAAAAGCCGGCAATTCTTGAGGTTCCTCAGGAAGCTTATAAATCCACCCAAATCCCCTGCCAGCCCCGATGTGGGATAACCATCTAAGGGGGGCAGCTGCTACTAAAATCTAAAGAGATCCCACTAATCCCGATCCAGGCGACTGTCTTTTTTGTCAAACCCTTTCGTAAGACTTTACAAACCTAAACTCCGAGTAAATCTCAAAAGCCGGCAACTCTTGAGGTTGCTCAGGAGACTTATAAACCCACCCAAATCCCCTCCCAGCCCCTCCATGCATGTTTGATGTGTAAAAATTTTGTATCCATTAGGTAAGTATTTCACCCTAAGGCACGGGGGAAAGATTTTGCAAGCAGACAAGAAGGAATTGATCGATGCCTTTTTCTCGACAAATTTGGAATTATGGGGGTTGTGGGGGAGTGTACTAGCTCCGCTAGAGCGCATTTGGTCCATGGAATCAGCAAAGTACATATCGATTGTTGTTCACGAGCCTCATCTGTCATTTGAAGTCGTACCAACTACGTTGATGATTGGGTTATCAAAATTCTCTCCGTATATGTCAATTTTACATATTGATTTTACTCTGACTTCAGAGCAATTACTAGATATATTTAATAATTTTTTCCTAAACAATAAAAGAATCAAAATTCTCTATGTACACATCGTTGATTCGGAACAACTACTATAACTAGACATATTTTCTTGACCAATAAAAGAGTTTCAAGTGAACATATAATAATTGCACTTGATTTTGTTTAACATATCAAATGCATCTCAATAATGCAATTAACAAAGTAGGATTCTTATGTGTATACATGAAGCTCTTTTATTGGTTTTGAATCAACTATTAGACATGTCTGTCTGTCTAATAGTTGTTTCGGGCCGAAAAGAAAAACTTTTTTTTTTAAAAAAAAATATATATATATATATAACTGTGGGTTATCACTACTCAGCCCCTCCCTCTAAATAAAAAATTAGTAGTAGTAGAAGAAGACAACCGCTACTCGTGGAAGGTTCGTTAAAGTACGTAGTATGAGTGTCAGCGAGTCGTCTTCTTCCGAGGCATTGGTCCACTCTTTGCATGGCTGTCAAAAATGTGTCTGTGTGCATAAAGACGCGTGCTTTGTGTATCTGTCCTTTGCATGCATTGCGAATTTGCAACGCACGAAAAGTTCCACTCTTGTAATTTTTCAAAAGAAACCCGGCAAAAATACCAAGGCCGTTGTTGCAAACGGAGCTTCAAACAAGCCAACGCCATAAGAGTTCAAGTTGTGTTAAATTTTAGTTTGTTTGATTATCCAATCGAGCTCAAACGAACTTTCATCAAGTGTAACTCGAGTAATTTCAATTTTGTATACGTAACGTTAGTTGTTCGAGTCAAATTTAAAAGTTTCAGTTGATTAATTTATGAACTAAGCTTAGGTGAGTTTTTACTTGATCAAATTTAATTCAATTATCGAGTAGATTGATTTATCGTTCAGTCTTAACAAATAATAATAATTATGAAAAGTATACCTAATAAACTAAAGGTAAGCTTGTAAAGTGCACGCGCACAATTGTTTTTCTTTCATTTCCACGCCCAGAAAAAAAAAAAGTGTTGGCTCAGTGCACTACACAGCAAGGGTGCTTTGTCAATTGAACAACAGGGCTTGGTCTTTGGGTTGCATTTATCCGCGCCTCGCTTTGCAACTCGAAAAGAGTCTTTTTAGATGTTGGCCTCCACTCCACAGAATCTATTCTTCCTTTTCTGTCCCCAACACAGGATTGCTTTTCCCTTATATTTTCCTCATTCCAGCATTTCAACACGGATACCCAACCGATCATGATTTTGTTTTCTCAAATCTCTTGCATATTGCGATCGTCTTTTTACTTTAGTTTTGGATAGTGGATAATCTGTTATCCCCTACCCACTTTTTGCAGTTGGAAAATCTTCTTGGTTGGTAAGAAAAACCTCAAGATTTAGATTTTTGCAATTGGCAGTCTTCACTGTAGAGAACAATAATGTATACATTAACACAATATTATATATAGATACTAAAATAACAAATATAGAACTAAGGCAGCAATGCGTTTGTTAAAAAAAAAATTTAGTTGTGCTTGGATTGTCATATTTTGCGAGAAAATTGCGTCGTTTTTCGTGATCACATTTCTCTATTATTTTTTTCTCTCGCATACATCAACTTGTTACAATAATTTTTTCACGAAAAATGACGAAAAATACAATCCAACGGGAAGTGCCAGCAACGCATAAAATTATAAAATTACAAGAAGTTTTATTACTCATTACAGATTGTACTTCACAATCAATTGCTTCCATCAAATTCGACTCTAACACATCTGCAGCACTAACACTAACTGCACTCTGCAATCAGAGTAGTGATTGCAGAGAACCCATATTCGCTCTGATTGCAGAGAACCCATAGTCGCCCCTGGATTGCAGTGGTCTTCTTACTACTCCACCAGTCCTGCTCAGTTTTGACTCGTAAAATAAGATCCCCTCAAAACGTAAAGTATAGCTTTCCCCAAATATTAATTATTACATTCTCTGCTACCTGCCCTCCAGGCTCCAGTAAAAGGTTTAGAAGCGAGCGTAAAAGATTCTTTCCATTTGACCCCCAAAGTTGAAAGCAAAAGGTGCAGATCAGGGACTACCTTTGCAAATTGAGAAAAAGACGAGGACATATTCCTAAAAAGATCCCACACTATTATATTCCCTTGTCAGCAACCACCACAGAAAGTGAACCCAACCCAACACAGGCTGCAGTGCAGAACCCAGGTGGTTAAACGTATTTAATTTTCCCAACCTTCAAGTCCACGTCCATGTGCGACCCAGCACTCCTGCTTCCATCCCTTCTCAATTCCCCAAACTTTCAACTGGTTTTACCTTCATCTCCATATTTTTAATTCATGGGTTCGCCGAATAAGCCCCAGTAAATCCACAACAACGGACAAAGTGCGGCCTCCAATCTCAGGTCAAGAGAAATGACCTCCGTTTCAGCTTCCAGGTATTTGATAGCTATCGCTCTCCTCCTCCTGTATTTCGAAATTGTATACGCCGACTTCAACGTCTCCTTTGCTTCCGAAAAAGTTGATAAAGGTCCAAACTTTGAGTCTCTGTTTGCTTTTTATGGTGATGCTAAGTTTGTTAGCGGCCATGATAAGTCAGTACAGTTATCTGGTTCAGTTGCTCCTAGTGCTGGGACAGTCTTGTATAAAGAACCCATTAAGCTTTTTGAACGTAATTCAAGAAAGATGGTGTCTTTTGTTATGAACTTTGTCTTTTCCTTGTCAAGTGAAAATGGGGATGGTTTAGCTTTTGCGATGTCTCCTATGGGTAATCCAGTACATGTGTTTAACGGTGGCTCATCTGGAGTTTTGGCTGCCGGGAGCAAAGTAAAGTTCCTTGCTGTTGAATTTGAAACTTCGAGGAATAACAGGTACGGTGATGTCAATGGAAATAATGTTGGGGTTGGCTTAGCTAGTCTTATTTCTGTTAAAATTAGCAATTTTTCATCTGTTAATTCGAGTTTGAGCAGTGGGGAGAAACTGCAGAGTTGGATTGATTACGAGGCAAATTCAAAGAGATTAGAAGTGAGGTTGGCTAAATTAGGTGAAAAAAAGCCTCTAAACCCAATACTTTTCTACCCCGTTGACTTGTCAAGAATGTGGGACAAAGCTGAAGTGCTTTTTAGCTTAAGCTCAGCAAGTGGGAATTCGTCACATAAATGTAATTTGTATTCATGGAGCTTGAAGCTCAGGAGTATTCCAAATTGGATGCACTCGGAGCCGTTGGATCCTGCCGCATTTGTGGAGAGGAGAAAAGAGCCGAAGGTCCATGAGAAAAGTGATTGTGCCTTGAGAATCCTGGCAGCGCTGATGTTTGGCACTGGATGTGGAGCTTTGGGGGCATTGCTTGTGTTGTTTATATGGACTCTACTGGGCTATAAGCGTCCTGTGGTGCCAGAGGATTATGTAGTGCGACCTGTGGGGTTTGAGTACGCGAAACCCATCAGAGATGGTAAGAATCAACTAGGTGCTTGACTAGGTGAAATCAGTCGAGTTCTTATCAGTTTGTTTGTAAATCCTGCTAAATTTTTGTGCTGGTATCTGTAATATTATTGCATGGCTGTAATTTCATGATCAATCATCAAAATGTAGTTCTGCTAGCAATTTCTCAGCGTTATGATCATCAAAATACAGCTCACATTTAGTTGATGAAATTTGAGAGCTACTTCTGTATATGATCTATAAAATGGGTCAAGGCCTCGTAGACGTTAGATGATCCAGTAGTTACCCATCCTTGATTGCTAATCTTTGATAGTTTCAGAATCTTTAATGCTAATGATCTTGGTGCTTCGTTCTGAAGACTGACAGCTGAAGTCTTCCCTCCGTATCCATTCAAGGTTCAATTAGGGTGCTCTATGGTTCTTAATTGGGGAAATTGCCCTTCGACGAGAGAGAAAAAGAGGGGCAAGGACAATTCTAAATGGGGGCCCTAATCCAGTTGTCATGGACTTGTTTTTTTCAATCAACTATAGTTTAACAAATTGCAGGGTCTTAATTTCTTTTGGGCACGTAGGACCCTTTTTTTTTTTTGTCGACACAAGGGTGTCCGGATCAATTCTTACGGGGCCAATTAATCCCCTGCAGCCCTTACGGGCACGTAGGACCTAATTTACTCTCTTTGGTTGAAATTGCATTGTTATGTTCGTTTTCGCTTCGCAACCTTTTCCTGCTTGTATTGCGCCTATATATTTTTCTTTAACTGTTACAAAATACTAGAAAGACGTTGGAGCACCTCACCATGTTGACGTTTACTAAGGGATATTAGTGCAAACGGAAGGGACTTGTTTCTCTTAATCATGAGATATCGGGTTCGAAATCATGGAAATGGAAAAAATAGTATTGGGAGAATTTCTCCAGTAAAAGATTCAATCCAACTTGAACAGAATTAATTGTAGTTCGTAAAACGGATGCGAATACCTATTGGTTGTACCAAAAAAAAATTCATATTCATGTTTAATGTAGTAGCATTCAGATCGGTGCTAAAAATGTACTTTTCACTATATAAAAAGAAAATCAAAATTTACTGATTTTTAACCGATCTAAGTAATGCGTCGTGAATTGATAACATAAGATACTTCATTGGTGCGATTATCGATTATACTGCAATTTGCAAATTGGCTATATTTCATGTGGACAGACTACAACCCAAATTTTTAAAAAAAAATTGAAAAAGGTCTGCAAATGATAAAAGTACAAAAGAAACGGAAACCCGTCAAGGATCAACCAATATATAAAATCATGTTAAGAGTGTTAAAATCATGGATAAAATACAAGGAACTCCCTTGTGATTTCATAAAAAGACACCTTACCCTCCTATTGTTTAAAAACCTCTACATAAACACCATAACTTTCATAACTAAAGTGAAAATTAGGGGCCGCTTGGTTTGAGGGGTTTGGCATGTGGAATGACAATAATTCCAATATTTAGTGCTTGGTACACTGTAATGGCAATTGAAATATTGGAATCATACCCAATTCATGATTCCCGACTAAATTGGGAGGAATCACTCAAAACCCTCAGCTCATTTCCAACAGTGAATAAATAAAAGACAAAATATTTTGTTAAAATACTTTCTTTCTCCCTCTCCCAAACTTCCACCATCGAACCTCCCCTTCCTCTCTGCCTTCAACACCTCTCTCTCCCCCATGGCATCTGGCAATTCCTCCCCTTTTTCTTATTTTTCCCTCTTTATCAGCATTTGACAACACCCAAATGGGCTTGCCGGCAGAAAAATAGATTCAAATGGAAGAAATCGAAGAGGAAGCCGCAGCAGCAAACGCCGACAAGTCATCACCGTTATTATCTGAATTCTCCCCGTAAGATCCGTTCGCCCGAGGTCGAGGTCCACCTCTACAAGCTTGGCAAAGGACCCATCAATGTCTTCAAGTCCAGCCTTAGTGGGTGGGACCAAGACTAGTTGGAGGTCACCGATTTTTTTCCTTTTCCATGGCATCTGACAAAATCTCTCTTCTTCTCCCACGGCCGGTCACTTCCACCTCATCCCAGTAGACCCTTTCTTCTCCTCCCTTGCCATCAAATCGTCCTCCTCATTGCAATCGTTCTCCACAAATCGTTCAAATCTTTTATTGATTAGTCATGAGTTTTTGTTGATAATTGTTGAACCAAAAACAAAAAAGATTTGGATTGGTAGTGATTTGATGATGGGCGTGATTATCAATCCAAGAACAATAATTAAAAAATAAAAAATTAATTTTGATACCATTCCAACTATATTTATACCAAGCACTAGTCCGTGGAATAATACCAGGGGTTCAAACCCATACTAATTTTTTGTATATCATTCCATCTCCAATACCAATTCCAAAACATGAACCAAGCACCCCCTTACATTTTGAACCGACTGAGTTATCGGCAGCAAGTCAAATACCTCATCTAACCTGTGGCCTGCTAAATTAGTAGGAATTGACAATCCAATGCATATACAGAGACGTAAGCTTGAAAGTTTTGCCTTGGAACTTTGAATCAAATGCCAACGCAAGCATCAAAACTCTGCAGTCCACTGGCATGATAATGATAATGAATATATTGTAGCAATCGAACAAGGTACCATTGGGTGTCAGATACAATATCATACAAGGAACGGAAATGGTCTCATACATGGGTAAATTCTGTAGTGTATTCAACTAATACAAGACAAGTATGAAAAGATAAAGAATATGGCAAAAAATCTGACACGTTGCAAAGCTGACATGTACGGAGGATAAAGGGAATACTTGTAAAAAAGCAAGTGTTACCTATAACAGACGCGGGCGGTTTGGAAATGTTCATGGGCCCATCGACCGCGAGGCGTACTGCAAAAGCTGAAAATGTATTGGGCTATCACGGAATTCACGTAAATATAATGAGCCTAGAAATAAAACACCGAAAAGGAAGCATAAACAGTACTAAACACAGCCATGCAGGTGGTATTTAACATAAACTGATTTTTGTGAAAGTAAAAAACATATTGCCCATAACATACTTGTTCTTTATATTTTTTGACATTACAACAACAAAATACTAGTTATTTATGAGCATTTTATTTTGAATCATTACATTTATGTAAAATACATAAATGTTTGTAACTAAAATTGAAAAAGGGTTACACTAATATTTTTACGAAAAAGAAACTAGTAGATTTCGTATTTAACAAATTTTACATGTGTGAAAGTAAAAAAGATATTGCCCATAACATACCAACTTTTTATAAATTTTTTACATTACATCAACAAAATACTAACTATTTATGAGTATTTTATTCCGAATCATTATATTTATGTAAAATGCATAAATGTTTGTAACTAAAATTGAAAAAGTGTTACACTTATATTTTTATGAAAGGATGACTGGTAGATTTTGTATTTAATGAATTTTAAATATGTGAAAGTAAAAAAGATTACGCCCATAACATACCAACTCTTTATGAGTTTTTTTGCATTACATCAACAAAATACTAATTATTTAAGGGCATTTTACTCTGAATCATTACATTTATGTACAATACGTAAATGTTTGTAACTAAAATTGAAAAACTATTACATTTATATTTTTATGAAAGGGAAACTGGTAGATTTTGTATTTAACAAATTTTAAATATGTGAAAATAAAAAAAATTGTGCCCATAACATACCAACTCTTTATGAATTTTTTGCATTATATCAACAAAATACTAGTTATTTATGGGCATTTTACTCTGAATCATTACATTTATGTAAAAAATATAAATGTTTGTAACTAAAATTGAAAAACTGTTACACTTATATTTTTACGAAAAGAAAACTAGTAGATTTTATATTTAACATAAATTAAATATGTTAAAGCAACATTACAGGTGGTTTTATTAGTTACTTAATTTGTTGACAAGAAATAATATTTCTTTTGCAAAATTTGTTCATTAGATTTTTTCAAATAATTAGGGTATAAAGGTAAATTTTCACAATCTTTTGTTAGCAATAAGCCCCAATTTCTTCCTAGGCAGTGACGAAACCAATATTTTTTCCTTGGGGGTGCCAAAATTATTTTAATATGCTATGTTCAAAATAATTTTATTATATTTAAATATATGGCATCCTAAAATATCAAATATTAACTTTAATTATAATGGTACGTCTATTTAATAAATATGTAGCATAGTCATAATTAAAATTAAGACAAGAAATAACATTTGATTGAATATCTTATAACATCACAAATCACCTAAGTTGTACATTATGAGAAGATGCTTCAATATGTCACTTGTGCAAAAACAAATATATAACTATGCAATATAAATATAACTATTTACAATTAAAAAGAAATAAAAATTATGTTAACATACCTTGAATTTCATCTTCTTTTATTAAATGTAAATTGAGCTCTACGTTTTTTCATAAAACTAAATTCACATTTACACTTTGAAATCCCCTCACATTTTCCTATCCCCATTCCGCTTAACTTCAACGCCCAACAGGTCTTCAAGTTTCAGGTCACAAAAGACCTTTACACGTGTCCATCCAACACACTTTCCCTACCGTTTGTGGTCACAATCACTTACTTCTCCTATTCCCCCAACTTTCCACACCTCCTCTTTGACTAGTAAACATATTGCAGCAACATCCCTCATACATGATAATGATTAACCATAGTCTCGATTGCGGACATAGTTGATAGTACATATGCAAATAAATCATTGCAAAATGAGACATCAAGAAGTGGGAGAGAGAGGAGTTGGAATCGGAATGAACTACCACTGCTGATCCCTTCTGATCGCATCAAGTACACATGGTCAAGAGCTTCTTCAACTTCAGCAATCAAGCGCTTGGTTTTTGTTGCACAATCAAGGGCTAATTCGTTTAGGAATTCTTACCATCATTTCTTCGTGGAAACGAATAAGTTCCTAGGCAATCTCCTCAGTTGTAGCTTCAATCTCGAGGCAGAAGGCCATATTTTTCTCCTTATCTGTAGCAGCATGACCACTCCCCTTATGAGTGGATTCCCAAATTTTTCTCAAAAATACACAATCAATAATTGAGTGGGCACTCAATTCTGTGTTTACTACTACTACTACTGAAGAAAATTGATCCCTTGTTCTCTGAGATCCGATTCAGCAAAATGCTGAAGAAAATTGATCCCTTGTTCTCTTAGATATAATTTTAAAGTATCAAAATTACTGAAGAAAATTGATATACGCCTTAGACATTCGGAAGACAGGCAACTCAATCATAGGGTTGTCAGATTTGA